GCAAGTCGGCCCTAGCCATTGCCACTACCGTCCCGGTAGGCAATGAGCTAATAAGTGGTGTAACAACCATCAAATCTGCGTGCAAACGGCGTTGCTCGGCCAAACCCAAGCTCACAATCCACTTCAAGCAGTTCAGGTCCATAGCCTGACCCAAAACCTGACGACGCGATGCCTCTGAAACTGAAGAAGCCGCGGTCACACCAGTAAGAAACCCCATCGCACGCTCTCTCTCATCAGCGTTGGGCTCCACCAACTGATGTAGGGTACTGTCCCACAGTGGTCCAGGTCCCCCATCACGATATGCATTTGATGCCGGATAACTGACCAACGTAGGCAAAGCCATCCGAGGCTGACCTACGTGGTTCACCAATGCCATGGGTGACCTATCCGCCACTCTCACCACCTGAGAGTATCGAGAGACATCCAAGATCCTGTCAACGGTGAGAGTAGGATCACGATGCACAGAATCATACGCATGACGCAATATCTCTCGTGGTACAAGGTTGGTCCACCACAAACGTGCACGATGAGCACGTGAACCAACCCTCGCAGCATCCAACAACACTGCTGATCCAATCCATGCCCTGACCTCATGGACACTCGCCATCAACTGGGCCCGAGTGTCACCCAACAATGGTACGTTCTCTAGAATGTATGCGGGAGAACGTGTCTGCTGCTGCTGGAGATGACGTAACACTCGTAGCATCTCCCAAAACATCCGAGATCTCGGGTCATGTAACCCTGCTCCATGCCCAGCGCGTGTGTGCCCCTGACATGGCCATCCCGCAATCACCAAATCAATATGTCCGACTCGATCGAGGTCTGGCGCCCCAGCAATGAAATGTCTGCAGGCAACGCCTTCTTGTATCCTCGAACAGCTGATCGCGGCAACAACAAAGGAAAACGCTGCATCAACTGTGTAACATGTCGTGAAGAAACCCGACGTGCAGTCTCGTCCTTCTCCACGTACAAGTATCTACGTACAAGAATACCTGACTGCAACACTGCAGCCAAACCCGTGCTGATCCCTCCAAAAAGATCCAGCAAACAAACACCCTCTGGGGAATACTCCCATACGATAGGTGTAGTAACTAATGGTGATAGGGTGCTAAGACCACATACTAGCCGACCACCTGAGACTCGCTCCGCCTCTGCTGGTAAAGAGCCCTCACTCCAAGCATTCTTCACCAACCTATCAGCCTCCTGCTGTAATGCGTGGCAAGAATCCCAAAGTGGAACATCCAAAGATGATGACACTGCCGCTGCGAGACTCACCATCTCCTCCTCCTCCTCATAGACTGGAGTATCCTCGGTTGACCTGTTCCCCTCCAACAAGTCATCAGGCCATGTGAGCACTCCACTGAAACCCGCAATAGAGGCTAAAACTGCAAGAGAAGATCCAAGAGGTCGATCTCGAGAAATGAATCTCACAGGCATCTCACTCATACGTCCATCACCGGACTCCCAACCAGGGCGATAAGCTGCCGTCTCCGTCCAATAATCCATCCGAAATTCCATCGGATATAACACCGCTCCACCAACAAGCACATCATATGACTCTGCTGATGTAACCACCGCTCGAACTCCAAACTGCGAGCTATCCTGAGCATGACCATGCCTCAACTGCACTGATATGCGCTCTCTGGTCATCCTGTAAGACCTGTCGCTGGTGCCACCGAGTGATGTCTGAATCTGGAACGGACAAGGCTCCAACTCGGACCTCCGAACTCCCAAACTAATGCAGGCAATCTTGCCCAACATCAAAGGCTGTGCGCCAGAATCCAGCAACACTCTGGTTGGGACATACACCTGCCCTGTAGCACTCACCAAGCGAAATACACCGCTCCGGTTGTCCACCATACACACACCAGGGACAACCCTCTCCCGATCAATGGCTGGTCGGGCTGGCAAGTACTCCATCCGTGCCGCTGCCGCCTGTCATGTCGACTCATCGCTCGATGGAGTCGTAGAGGATAGCTCCTCACCAATAGTCTCGCCTATCTCGGCACTCGTAGCAGTGATACTCTCACGTTCACACAACGTGGCTGCTGCACGAAAAACCCGAGTCAAGTCGATCCTAGAGTCTATCAGCTCCATAGCTGAAAACAATGGAGATCTCATCACTGAGCTAGCCATCCGCGTCACTGCACTAGATGGTGTGTCCGTGTCCACCACACGTGACGTAGATGTCTCAGTCCTCCCACTAAGGTCACTAGGTGGTATAGGCCTCATGGATGAAGTACTGCCCACCTCTGACAACAAAAACGACTGGGGAAGTCTGGCCTGACGCCCACCCTCATCCCTCTGAGGATCCAACTCCCCTGTCGCACCGCGTGGCTCTAGAGCTCGAGTTGCACCTCTAGTCACTGCAACCGATGCCTCCACATGTGCTGCACTCGCTAGATAAGGGAAATCCTCTTCCTCGTAAGAGGAAGAGGATTTCAGAGTCAGAGTCAGACCACAATTCATTCCTCGTAGGAAGTGCTCGCCCTAGACGTCGCCATAGCAGCAAGCCTCTGCTCCAACTGCTCAATCCGAGCAGCCATCGCGCTCTCTATGGACGAAGTAGCACTCGCTACAGGACGTCCAACTACACCGGCACCTCGACCACCTTTACCAGCACGGCCACCTCGGCCTCGAGAAGCATCACCACCACGACCTCTACCACCAGATGTCAACTCTAGATGAAGATCAAAACATCGATCTCGAGTATGACCTGCTCGACCACAGTGGTCACACACCACCTGTGCTGACTGGGGTCTGGCCTGTGAACTCCGACCTCCGGCCTCCTGGGGACAATCTCTCCGCAGATGATCCCCTCCACATGTCCAACATGCTGGTCCCTGCTGCTGGCCAGCAAACGACGGCACTGGTGCACGTGCCCCTGTATCTCTAGCGGCCGTCTGGTGTCGTGTCTGCACTCCGCGACCCCACCACTACCACCACCAAAGGGTCTAGACGATGTCGTGCTCTACGGGACCCGAGAGGTAGTGGCTGCGTCTCTAGCGAATGAAGAAGTCACCACTCTCTCCCCCACTATGTTAAGCTCAATCTTCTCAGAAAGAGCAAACACATAGGCCAATGTCGGTGACGCATCGCTCAAGAGAGTAGCATCCCGAACCCTCCGCCGTAGCTCTCTGTCTAGTATCCTGTACCAATACTGGACCGCCTGTGCCTCAGTTACACCGTGAGTAACTGAGATCAACCGCCGCATACGCATGTATGCCTCCCGAAGACTCTCACCAGTCTTCCGCTCAAACTCCTAGAGACTCCTCAACTTCTCCGTCCTCACCCCCTGATAGTTCTTCCTCAACCTCTTGAAGAACTCATGAATGGGGCTGAACAAAGGTACGCAAGTAGTCTCTCCACTCGTGCTGGCAACGCCAACAGCACCGCTTGTGGTACCTGCTCCACTAGTACCATCGGCGATGCTACCACTCGCACCTCCACTGGTACCAACATCATCCTGGGTGATTGACGTATAGTTTGGAGACCAATGACGCCTCCATGCGTCAATCTCCACAGCATACTCTCTCCCAAACTCATGGTAGTCATCCATGGGAGGCCCCTCCAGATGCTGAAACAACCCCTTCCATGCAAAGAAGGGTGTAAACAACGTGGGGTTACGCAAGAACTACATATCGCACCACGTGTCAAACTCCTAGATGAAATCATCCAACTCAATGGTGCCCACTGCACCAGAGTACCGCCGTGGGCCCTTCATGGCCCCATACATACCGTCCATGTCCCCAGTCCACGAGTGTGGGACCCTAGATGATATCACCACCAAAGATCCGCTATCTGCCACACTCCGCGCCTCTACAACCACTGATGCGCTAGGATGAGGTAGCCGATAGCTCAACCCACTTTGCGTAAATCCTCCACGGTCCTCAACGGAACCCCCAAACTCCTCCGTGATGACTGACTCACCAATCGGCACCACTGCCACAACTCCACCTGCCCTCGTCCCTGCACTAACCTGCTCTAGCCCTACTGACTATGGGTATGGGCAACCTAACCTGTCATCACCGCAAGAAGATTCTCCTGATCCACTGGTCATCACTCCAGTCTCACCATGAGAGAAACAAAGATAGGCGCCGGTGATCAAATCCAGCCGCACTATCGACAGCACACTGGAGTAAAACTACTCCGGAAATCAACGTCAACCCAAACATGGGCGCGCATCAAGAAGCCAGACTGGAGAGGATCCAAACACAAGCAAACATCTAGCAACGACTCTCCAGCCGAAATGAAAAACAGCACAGAACAACACAACACACGGGAAGTCGCCTCGCATAACGATCCCGAGTCGAGCTCCATCGCCTCCTCTCATCTTCCACCTCCCGCGCCTGCAACGCTATCTCGCTCATCCCGTCGCAAAAAAATAATGACCTCCACGCCGAGCTATCCCGTACTTCACCTCATACCTCCAGTTCACGCTCCCACTAGGGGCAAGGAATATAACAAATACGAAAACCCTATCTACCATAACTATTCCACATAGACAAAAATAATAATGATAAAACCATTATTTTCACAACTGAAAAATCATAATAAATGAGACTGAGTGCAAATTCTCAATCTCTGCAGAAAAATATATATTTTTTTTTCTCTCTTTTCTCTTCTCAAATCTCTCTTTTTTTTCTTTTTTTCTTTTTTTCTCTTCTTCTTCTTCTTTCTTTCTTTTTTTTTTTCTTTTTCTTTTTCTTTTGGAGACAAAACTTATAGATAAGATTTATCAACAATTTACAAGCGGTAGTGTACATACCAGTGATTGCGTGCAAAACCCAAAACACTAACGAGTATTCCTACTATTCATATAAGCTAAATCAAAACATCTTGGCAGTCAAGATTGGAATAGATCCCGATACAATCTACTGTCGGCTAACGATATTACAGGCAGACGTTTTTCCTGCTTGCATATTGGAAATAGTACCTATCATTTGCCGCAACTCAACCGCACTGCCTCCGGAGTTTCTCAAGAGCAAGTCAACCCTGTTGAAGGGATGTGCACCAAGTGCAAGAACCTTATCGACGCATCCCATCGCTATGTTTTTATTCCCTCTCCTTCCTTCTTCCAACTCGTGGAAACAAATCACTCTTTCCTTGCATGTGAAATCTCTCATCTACCAAGATTGTACTCTATCATCTGTTTATTAAACTATAACTGATTCTAATAACTTCTACTTTGCCACTGCAAGTTCTCCTACTAATTACTTGACACGGGATGTGGGTGCAAAACTTTGGCAATAGCCCTCACGGTAGCTGGAGTAGTTTGGCAACATCCCCCGAATAAATTTGCGCCTGCTTTCTTCCACCGGAGAATATAGTTGATAAAGTCCTCGTCAGTAGCACCCGTAGATGGAATCCACTCCTTTTTCTCTGCATTCCAATCTTCACCGCGATTTGGATAGACCACGATGGGCTTCGATGTAATCTTGCGAGCTTCTGAGATAAGTTCCTCGCATAAAGAAGGAGGAGTACAATTGATGCCAAAAGCCACAATTTTTTTCACTTCGTTCTACCAGCTCACATTCCTCCCATCTTTTGAAATGTAAGACATCCAGGCTGGAACATTTATATCTTCCTCTTCCAGAACTTCGATGAGAGCCTTTGCCTCCAGAAAAGACGGAATAGTTTCAAGTGCTAGAATATCCGGTCCAGCTCCGGCAAGGATCAAAAGTCGTTCGCGATGAAAATCTTTCAGCTTCTCTAAAGTCATCTCAGGACCATAATCTCCACTATACTCGGATCCATCTGCTAAATATGCCCCGTAACTTCCGATTGAAGCCCCTACTAGTGCGCGGCAATATTGTCCAGGAGCTGCTTCGTGTTTCTGCACGCGTTGTTGATACTCGTTCCAAAACTTGTCACGCGCCTCGCATGCCAACGTGACACTTCGCCTCAAAAATTCCTTTCCTTGTTCTCTGATGTATCCTCTTGACTCGAATCCAAGCAACGTTGCCTGATATGAAAAGGTGAGAACAATTTGCGCACCAGCTTCCAGATAATCCCAATGTACTAGCGGTATGAAGAGCCGAAATTGGATAACTGCATTGCTAGGTTGCAACTAAACATGTTGGCACCCTCCGACTGACAAGGTCCGGACTTGTGATTAAGCATAATGCCGTCCACAGAGGATTCTTCACTTCTGCACCATGGTGTTCCAACTGTAATACGAAACCTCCATCAATCACCGCACTCACGCATGCAAGGAGCAAGCAGCAAGCAAGCATACATCCACCCAAGGATCTGGACTCGCAAACCAAAGCGTCCCTCTTCCTCGAGCTGACCCCAGCAACACGCCCGAGAGATTAAAGAATTATGACATCCGCGCAGCTGCGCATTCTTGCCGATCCCGATGGACGACGCTTTCCTCTCCTCCTCGACAGAAACCTACACAATCTCATCTATTTGGTTTAAGTGTCGACAGAAACCTACACAATCTCATCTATTTGGTTTAAGTGTACGCAGTTCTTCGAGTAAAAGGGATGTCAAACACAAATACACAAAGAGTCGAGCCAAACTCATTACTCGTAGGTAGACTAAAAGTCGAAGCTAAGGGGAAAAACCCCGACGCGTAAGGCTCAACTCGAAGAACTGACAGTTCTTCGAGTTCGCCACGAATATAAACCTGTAAAGTCGACCTAGCCTACGCTCCGCGTCTCAACGTTAGCCGACTCCCAACGTCACCCGACTCACACTCGAATCCAACGTGTCTGAAATCAAATCGACACCAATGTCGATCTGCAACTGCACTAACGTGCATACACATGACAAAATATATATCGCTTAAAATCTTGACAGTATACTCATGACGTTGCTAAAATAGGTGATGATAAATATCTCTCACAACTGATTGATAGAATATTGCAAGTTAATTACATATAAGTTTCATGATGATTTTGTGTGTATTTTTAATACACTACATGTATGGGTTTGGGGTTTAGGGTTTATATACTATGAATTTGAAAATGAGCTATTTACAACTTTGAACATCAAATTGCAATTTACATATTTTCACTGTCATGCATAAACATCTTTGCATACTTAAGAATTTGCAAAAGATAGCATGAAGTAAACAATAAAAAAATATAGTAATGAAACATGATTTAGTTCAAGTCATACAATTAAAAATATTAATAATTTATTTCATTTAAGTCTACAGTTTGTTTGAAACTTTTTTATCAATTTACCATTGTATTGATGATTTTTTTCCCTGATTGACTTCTATCAATCCTTTAACAATAACTCAACAATTTTATTCCATTTCCAAGTTCATATCATAATCATAATTTTACAATATTGTAGGTTTTCAAATTTAATATGATATTTGTTCTATGAACTTACTTAATCAAATGAATAGTAAAACAAGAATTTTCATTTTTCCATCGTGACTTTGTTTCTTATAAATACTATCAAATCATATTATTCAATTTAAAAATTTCTATCTTTTTTTCTTTAGTCCAAATTTCTTCTAATTATAACATGATTGCGTGAGACTTGTGCAAAATTAATCTATGAATTTATCTATCTTCATTTATATGATTAGAAGTATTATATATTAAAGTTTTAATATTGTTAGACATTACTGTAATTTTCAATGAAAATTCTATCCAATTATATCAAAATTATTATATTGCAGTATATTATATACATTTTTTATAAAATTTTGGGTTCATTTGGGAACTTGTGGTTAGTTTTACTAGTTCAAGGCCAACGGTTCTGGTATTTGATGATACTACCAGGTAGATGTCACTCGTATGAAATTTGGTCATTTAAGAATCTAAGGTATATTTTCGAATGTGGATACTTTAGTTTTCTACAGTACTCATTGTACGGCTATTTGCCACAGATATTATCATTTCCCAAGTTGTGAAATTATCATGTTCAAATACTGTTTGCGTATGTTCCTGCCATTCACATCAAACATTATATTTTATCTTCTTCTTTCGTCTCTTCTCCTTTAGAGAGATTATTATTGTATAAAACTTAAGATCTTTCCGGGTAATAAGTTTCGACATCCTCTAAATAAACACAATCTGCAGGTATATTATATCACTCATAAAAATATGAACAATTAATTTCGGACACATACAAATACTAGCTCAGCCGTCATGATTTCAACAGTCTTGCGCTCCGGTTCAAATCACTCACCCATTCCATCTGTCCCATGTTTCAGACCATCTACCGATTTGGTCATAATGGTCATAGACAATCTCACATTTAACCGAAATGTGCGGGTTTCGTTAGCTTGTGCTTTCATGGTTAGATCGTCTCTAACATGGTGACAAACTCGAGTTACGAAAATTTTGCTTTTGTTTACTACATCAACTTCAATTCTGTTCCTGGAACATCATCAGATAATGATAATGCCATGGCTATTGATCTAATTTTACACTATTAATGGTACATTCCACAACCTATGGTACCCCAAAATTTCAAATGAGCTGTCGGCTGGTGACAGGGGGTACAGTACAGGAACTGAACGGATAGACTTAACAGTCAATACATCGCTCCTCCACCTTCAAATCGAGAGTAAACTTGAACAAATGCAGGCCGTGGAGACAGGTTATGAACCTGCACGGATCCTTCCAAACTGCGGATGAGCCTTCTATACGAAAATAGTTCTCTACGCAGTGTTGGGCATGACCTTCCTCAGTGGCCCAATGACCTTAGACTCGACCTCCAACCCATCATCAAAAGGAGCGTAATTCTTCTCCTCGTCGTAAAAGTGACACTGGGTCATGATGGTCTTCATTAGCCTCCAGTTCCATGTACATTTGTTCACATGCTGCAAAATCGGATATCAAATATTAAACAGTTAAGCGATGCGAACGAACGTGCAATCCGTACTTAATAATTCTGAATTTCCTGTTGGCTCCAATACCAGCCAGAATAGATCTTCTTACTAGCTAGCCATGCCGCGCTAGAAGAAAAACCAGCACCAGACTAGATATGGCCTATCGGCAATCAGCCGTCAGTATTCCCTTCGTACTGTACAAACTCCCTGCCAGATACCGAAGCTTCTAACGCCCTGAGTGGGTGAGAGTACAAGGCGTGGCACAGCTCAACTATGAAACTGAAATACATTGATGGACAACTATCAAACGCACGGACGTGGTTCATTTCTCGAGAAATTTAAACAAACTCACCTTGCCCCAGTTTTTCTCAATAGAATCGTGCGCCATACGCAGATTGTAGCTAGGGATCTTTTGGGATACGTGATGTGGAATGTGTACGCTGATATCATGGCACAGTACTTCAACCCTGGACAAGAGCACACTCCATCCAATCAAAAGTATACCAAAGAGTGGAGTCAAGACTAGTGAGACTATCAGTAGAGCCGCATTGTCCAGATCCAGAGACACTCTTACGACTCCACACTTTCCAATGAGCTTCTTTTCAACATATGTAATAAGATGAAAAGTATGAATGAGAATGCGATCAGAATCACAATAAGAATGCGATCACCACTGAAGAACGATGAGGCTAGGGTCCACATGCAATGGAAAGAAAGAAAGTGCGCAGGTACAATTTCCTACCATTTAGGATAATCGCAGTGCACAGTTCCTCCTAGTTGGGCAGCGGCTGAGTTCCAGTCTTTAACGTCCTTGAAGGGTATGTGCGGGGCAGTGTGGTGAACCATGGTGAAAGTACTCATCTGAATCAAAAATATATTAGCTGAACATATTGGAAGTACATGACCAGTACTACGCAGTTAGGCACCAAACGGTCAACAACTAAAATAATAATGAATAATAGAGCGTACCACAACGAAGGAAATAGAGTTGCAAACATGGATTGAAATTTAATACGTCAAAAACTCAAAGCTTACCCAGAAGTGGTATCCCAACCAGGGCATAAGCCAGTAGTTCACCCACCCAACAACTCCAAACTTCCAAATTATCAAGGGCCACACAACAGCCATGAAACCAAATACCGCTGCCAAGCTGGTTTTCACTCGATTTTGCTCACTCGGTCTGTACTTTTTCAAGTCAAAGTGCCACAGAGCCCTGCAAAAGATTCGACAACATAAGAAAGAGAAAAATAAAATCGGGATCATGAAGAGTTACCAGGATTCAGTTTCGCTCTGTTGGCAATTCACTGGTTTGTACAACAAGTACAACGACAGGAGTACGCACCAGTGGCCAATGGAAGCCCACGGACGTAAGGGACCCATTCCCCATTCCATAAACGATTTCAAGGGTTTCGGGTAATTCTCCCACTCCTTGCGCATAACCGGGTGCCAGGCCGTGTCTTCGACGAGCCTATGAATCAACAGAGAGAGTTAGTCGAAATGACCATAACCAAGAGCGAACTAGTCAATTGCCTAGCAAACCGTCTAGACTGCTCGCATAAAAGAAGATCCAGTGGCTAAGTGATGGTTTCACGGACATGTTGGTTTTGGCGTGGTGTCGATCATGCTTAAATCTCCATGGCTCGTAAGGATAAATGAGTGGCATCATGGCAATTGTTCCAACAATATCTTCTAGAAGCTTGTTCTTGGAAAAACATTTGTGCGCGCAGTCGTGTCCAATAACGAAGAGCTGCACGCGGAAAACACAGACGTGAGGGCCGATTCAATTTCCCATAGTGATCAAAATGTAGCACAGTTCAGATCTAGCATAGTAAAAAAGGATAGAATTCGAAGTGACTAAAACTAAGTCAAAGCGCCAATGTTTAGCACTCACCCCAGTTGCGGCAGTTCCCGCGTAGGCCCACGCAAAAGGAAGCAGATACCAAGGAGACTTCGAGATCAGAAACAACGCCAGAGTGTAGGACACAGCTGTTATAGCGACAGTCCTCCACGCCTTAAAGTTATTTATCTCAAAAACCTGAGGAAGAAGAGAATAGATTCGGAACAAATTTAAAAATGTGTAAATATTGTTCCGACCGCATGAATAAGATCAACGTAGGAAAAAGTTCCCCGCCGTGGGATTCTAAGAGTAAAGAGCACAGTGGAGCAGAAAATCAGTGCGACGCCTCCTTCACAGCTGAGAGGAAAGAGATGCTCTAAATTAGCAGACAAAGCAAGTGAAGAACGCGGACAGTGACAAGACACAATGACCGCCTCAGATAAAGTACCTCTTTTGGAAGTGAGTCAATAACATTCTTTAATGTCACATTTTCTGGAACTGGCTCTCCTATCTGCTGGAATCCATATTCTTCAGCAAGGCGTGCTCGCACTTCTGCGTCTTCCAGGGCGTAAGGAGCAACAGGTGCGGCAATGGCATATATCCCTCCGTTCCTTCGCTTGAGTTCCAAAGGATCAAACTGCGGACCAAAGAGCGCTTGTCGTGGTCAGCGTTAGAAGATTGTTTTGTATACGAAGCCAATTGGAATATTTTAGGATTGGCATAAGGTTAAATTGATCAAGACTTTCCAGAAAATGACATCGTACCCTGGCATGCTGATAAACTACGGGTTCACCAGTGAACTTCGATCCCAAGGAACCTGCGCATCGTCGAGCAGATAAGAAAAGGTGGGTGATGGACAACCAGACGTTCTTAGGAGCACAACAGTGACATAGCCTGGACAGACCAGCCTGATGAGTCCACGTGAAGGACTAACAATATGTAATGGGGTGCAACTGTGCATAAAAAGTGAAATGTAGCAAGTTCATACGCTACTACAAATTAAACTTCGAAAGATGTTCCAAGTTTAGTCACTGATAACATCATATGATAGAAAAGACAAAGACTAACCTGCTGCTCTTCTTGCAGAAGATTTGAGACCCGCAGACCGCACAACCTGGCTGCTCAATTTTGCCTGCACAGAAGAATCACTGCCATGAACCAGCTTACACTAACCAAGATGGTTCTCGACAAACGCACAAGGCGCTGGGAGGCGCAGTCAAGTACTCTACTTAAATTCGTCTGTAATCACCTTTCGTCGTAGCGTATATCGCGTCGCAGATGACAGCTTCAGCATATCGGCCGGACGCAAACCAGACAACACCGAAGAGATAGGCAAAACATAAACAGTAAAAGAGGCAAACGAACTCCTACCTTTGGCTGTGCACGGCAGTTGATCGAGGCCTTTGGCAAGGCGACTCGATAGCCGCAAACTGAGGCGGCCATGGTGCCCTGCATTGTGCAACTTCACTTCCCTCCTGCACAATTCCAAACGCCCACCTCATTAGTGCGAAGACAAAGCAACGTGAATTGCGGGAAACTCAGCTCGAAGAGTTGGAAGGCTTTCTTTGCGGCAGCCATTCCAACCGTGACAACCGTCCCCGCGTAGACCTCTGTCCCGGTCAAATGACAGACATGTGAGAGGAAACACAAACTTGACTGTACGTTCGAGAATACATTACACTAAGTACGCGAATCCGCTGCAAAATTTGACTAAAGCTCAAAGAACAACCAAGTGGACAGACCTCACGGGAGCAGTATGCTACTTCACAAGCCGCGGCACTTGTAATTGGGACGATAAGAACGGGAGGAGGCCTCCTAGGTTAAATGAGCTGGACTGCGAGAATGGGAAGTGAGGGGGAAATAGAGAAGGTTGCAGCCGCCCTCGGCAGTGGAGAATGTGGACGACTTGCACACGAGAAATTGCGAGGCAGACGCAGGCACACGAAGCTTAACGAGGCTCCGTCCGATGACTTACGACGAAAGACAGAGGAGCTGCATTACTTGACCGGACTTATTTTGGTCGCCATACTGAAACAATCTCTCGCACTGAAATAGCCCTCACATTCCATGGCATACGATGCAGCACATTCGGAAAATTGATTCGTGATAGGCAAAGAGGATCGAGCTGCAAACGGTTGACTGCACCCACTCAATCCACTTACCCACCGGAAGAGAAGTGGACCGACGCGAAGAGCACCACCGCAGCACCGAACAGCACAGCCGAGAATCAGCGGAGAAGCGGAGTCAGCCCCACGAACTGCAGAAAAGGGAGGTGGAGTAGAGCGCTCCTGAGCCTTCTACTACCAACTCCGGCGCTTCTGACCGCTACTTGTGATTGCTGTGGTCCGCTGTACCTGACCGCAGCACGGTTGCTCTTCCCCGGTTACCTAAGGCTCTCTGACAACAATCTCTTATCGAAGCCTCTCACCACATACGCCTCCTGCAACCGTGCCCTCTCATTGGCTTTCTGGTCTTGCCTACGTGTCGCCCAGGCGAAGCCCGCTTATTACATTCTATTCACCTTCCTAAGGACTCTCTATCTGTTTATTGGTCACGTTTTGTATCCTCAATGATATCCTACGTGTTTTCCTTCTCAAGCACTAGATTCCACTTTTTCTGGTCCAACGAGAGCCTGGATTTATTTGACTTCAGCGGAGAGGAGCCATCACATTGGACCTGGTCATGGACCTTCATATTCCATATTGATATGCATGATATTCACTGTCAAGGTATAGCTACACTTTCCAAGAAGATACAGTGGCTCGTTTATAATATTGTCGTTTGTCTTCAGCGTATTTTCGTTTCCGTGACGAACAAAAGAGTTAAAGTCGAACAATGCGCCATAAGCTTCTTCGTTTTTGCATTATTGCTTGAGAAAGGCATACTAGCAAAAAGTAGCGTGAACAATTCGGTCAACTGACGAGATTTGAGTTTTACATTTTTTAGACTGTTTTTGTCTTACAATAGGGTAAAGTATTCCTGTACTCGTCCCAAGTGATGAAGTTGGAAATAAGGGAGAATGACCTGGAGCGCTTGAACCCACAAGCAACTTGAAACCAACAAAAAAAATCATTTTCCATTTAGGTAGTATAATATGGAGAGTTCAAATATGACATGCAACTGCAACTCCCTGCACAAAAGTTGCCCAGCACTTCAAAGTTGCCCATTTTATAAACACATGGGCCCTTGAATATATATGATCATGAACATTCTAAATTGTTGTTGGACGAATGATTGACTACTATATATACTCCAACCACTTGAGAAAATTGGGACTTGTTCAAATTTCTTGTTTTCTATTAACTTCATATGTCAGCAGATAGATACATATATGTATGTAATTCAGAAGACAAAAGTCGAAAAGGTTGCATAGTCATAAGAATGTGCTTTGGGAAAAAAGTAATGATGCAAAGAAAATGAAAAGACTGGTGAATCCATTCATGGATGAAACCAAAGTCGAAGGGGTTTATGTGCAGGGTCCATATCACAACATGAAATCTGCAATATTGTATCAAAAATTTGAGCTAATTATCTAAGTGTCCATGAAATTAGATCTCTATATTACAGGCATCAACTATCGAGATTGGACTCTTATATATTGCACTACCCACTCTTCAAATGTACAGTATATGTTGACCAAATTTGAATTGTGATTAGCCAACGAGATCAATATATCACGTACTTTAATTTTATACGAAAGATTATCTCTCATGGACCATCTTTATGTTCATACCATCAAAGCAAGAGAAAATGATTTACAATCTTTCTTCGAACCCCTTTAATTGAACATCATGTTGTTCCTCCAGCTTTTTTGTTTATCCAGAAGTATATGTTTGTGTGCAAGTAGATAACCAGGACATTGAAAGTGTTCAGTAGCTAATAGATTAAAAAAATCTGAAGAAATTTGTTTGCATTGATAGATTAAAAAATATTCAATCTAGTGTCAAATCTTCAGAGATTTTAAAAATCAATCATGTGATAACATCTTTAAAACCATTGTACTTTCAAAATATGAACATTGTAATGCATGATATGAATAAGAAAACAAGTGATTTTGCAAATTTTTGTATACTATAACAAGCAATATCAAAGAATAATATATAAATTACTTCATGCATAATCACTCAGTATTATTTTTTTGACATGCAAAATACACTTAATATTTGTCAAAAATGTCAAGGTAGAGTAAGACAAAATCTGCACATCTTACTATCTCACAATGCACATATTGTTTTTCAATATCATGTTTTCTTGCATCAGAGATGGATAGTAACTCATAAAGGAATTCACTGCTTATATTTTCTTTAGACACACCATGTTAAACATTAATGTATAAAGAAGAAAGAACTATATAGTTTATTGAGTCCCTGCAGTAAGAGTATTATGAGATTCAATAATTTCAAACAATGTATATAATTTGTGTTGGGTTCAAGACACAAGAATCATGATGTCTAGCCTCGAGTTCGTGAAATCATAGCTAGGTTATAGCTTATAACAACATTAAATTATGTAACATGAAGTCCGAGTCAACGTGTGTAATCTTCATTTGAAATCAAGTGAAAGTAAAACTCCATGGAGAGGAATTATATGTTGAAAAATCTCATTTTGGGACACAGAGTTGTTGCACAAGCGCCAATTTAGATTTAACATTGACGAAGCTCCTTGGCACAACGTAGAGAGTAGTGTATGCACAATACCTGAACAATACACGTCTTGATAAGAAGTCTTTGTCTTGACAAGAAGGCATTAGGCTGCAAATGCACTTCATAATGCACTTCACTTTTTTAAGGTCTCTACATGTTTTACTACAGAACAATTTCTTCCACGCCACGGACACCTGGATATACACGGACACCTGGATATGCACGATCCAAGAGAGTAAAAGTGACGAGAAAGAAAAGTCCAAACAGCGGTATGAACTCAGGCTGCCAGAAGTAAGGAGACAACCTGTCACATTGTGGACCTCACATGTAATCTTCAATCTCACGTTCCACCTCTAAACCCTCCCGCCGCCAAGTTAAAATTATGGACATGTTGTACATAACGTCCGTGGAAACAGACAGACCTCTCAGAGCACACAAAACGTGCGTTGGTCATTCATTCTCCTCAGCGTGACCATGTACTTCCCTCAGAAATGACCACTACAGTACAGATTAACATGTATATTTCCCTCTGAGATAAATATCAAGTTAATCCTTGTTACTAAATGTATTCCGAACAAGAGGAAGAAGACGCACTAATAAAGATATGGCACGGAGAGACTCGGTTGAACGTATGTTCCACCATGCGGACTACTTGGTGGGACAATCGGGGCCAAGTGGATAACCAAAAGGTTGGGAAGATACCATGAAGCCAAAAGGAAACCTAAACAACCTGGATAGCGAATAGGAAAAATTCCATGAGAAAGTATGAAAGAATCCAATAGCAATACCGATCAAATGAATACATATAACATAAGCAAGAAAACCCAAAGCAATATCAAGAGAAAGACTATATTGATATCATATTGATAAAAATTCGCTCCAAAATCGAATGGGGATTAGGAATATATACTCATACAATGTACGAATAATTATTATTTTACATTTCCCCACAAGTGAAAACATAATAAGAAGAATGATGGGGCAGAAATACAAATTGGTCAAATTTGTCTATGGATGAGTGATGCATCTAGAATCCAAAGTTAAAAATCATCTCTTGTTGTTTTCTCTCTACAATAAAAAATAACATTTCAATAAAAATGTTGATGAAATCATTTTGTCCGCGAAATCATGACATTCGGATTGGAAGTGAAATAAATTCAAACAAGGTTTTTTGAGAAGTTGTTTAATCAACTACAATATGAAAATTGAATTGCATGCATAGAGGAAGCGACTTCATTTCAAACGCTTGACAAAGAAATCTCTTTTCACTTCTGTGACATACCTCTTTCAACTACATTTATTCTTTGTAAATGATTTATCATGAGTAAACATATAACCTACACAAAAATTGCATTAGCTCTTCACTTTGAGCAAGATAATACGGAAATACAACAAACTTTATTAAAGAAACTTTAATTCTATGTCTGTAAGTTACGACTAACTTTTTATTATATACTTAGTTTAACAAATCAAAGTTAAGCAAAACTTGAGTTAATCTCTCACTATCATTCCCTTCACTCATGTTTTGAAGACAATGCACTGCAAGATTTATATAAACACCACTTGAAAAGTTGTAGAAAAAATAATCATAGATTTGTGTGTAGCTAACTAGAATTAAGTTGTAGCCAAAACATGATAGAATAAAAATATATAAAAAATGACAATATTATAATAGATTCTATCCAATTTCTTGACAAACTACCATGTTCAACATGTCAAGCAAATTTTTTAAATACCTACTTGCTTTAATTGCAAATTATTTATGATTAAAAATCCTATGAATAATCATGTTGTTTATTAAAACTTATACAAATTTTTATTTTGAATACAGATTTTAGTTGATTTGTACATATATAGACAGCAAATTCATCTTACGTGTAAACAAGCATCTCGTCCTAAGATCTAAATGTATCTAAAGCAAATGTAAATGTCTTAATATACATACTTGTTAACAACCCTTTTACTTTCATAAATTAATGAAATTTTGCATTTTATTTCCTGAAAGCCAGTTTTGATTCACATAATTATTTTTATAATTTGTAAATGTAACTTTTTTAGGCATTTTTCTTGAATAGTATGAGTAATCTCATGTCAGTTTTGATTTTGTAGAATCCATGAAGAAAGGTTGTGATTATATTCATCACACATATGATTATTTCAAATATTGCAACAAATGCATGAATGTCAATTGTTGACATACTTTCTAAGAATGAATCAACTTTATATTCTATTTTTCTGTAAACTCATTTATCATCTTGGAATTTAAGATTTTTGTTTATATATGAGGATTTTTATCCACTTGTAATCAACCAGAGGCTTATTATAATAAGGTTTCACTGTTTTCACATATAATTATCAATCAACAATTGTATTTTACTTACTATAATAGTATTTCACTCAAAATTATGTACAAAATGTGTGAATTTTTGTATATAAAAATGAATGTTTTCTTCCATGATCAGCACATTATAGCAATCCTTTTTTAATCTCGGCATCAAAATTCTTAAAAATAAACGATGATTTCATATGTCATTTATTTGAGATTTTTTATCAACTGAATTTGATGATATTCTAAACTCATGAGTTTTAGGCCCATTTTTGGTTGTAGAGTTTAGAGTCTCACCATCACCATCAATAATGTGCTTCTTCAATTCTTGCTTTTATAATTATCAAAGCATGATCATGATATATGTTATACATACGAATCATTTTCAAAATAAAAGATAGTTACTTTTTCATGTCTTGGATTTTAGCTGATGATTTTCCAAGTTTTACTTCAATAATGCTCCCCTATAAATAAATAAATAAATAGATATATAACCTGGAAGATTCCAAAAAGAACAAACAAGATGAACACAATTTACTAGAAATCCAGTATCATCATGATGAAAAACATGTTGTACATTAGGATATATTTTGGATTATTTAAATGATATGGTTTATCTATAAAACAAGCATGTAATGTGTTAATTAACATGACTATATTTTCCTTTGAAAAATCAATTAATGCTTCTCTAAAAGTTGAGAATAAAATAACAGTTTGCATAAGAAAGTCAAATTTGACAAATTTTGTTTCGATATCCATGACTAACTATGTAATAAGTCCTCAAACCTCTCTCAAGAACATGTCAAATGTGAATCTAAATTGTTTTATAATTAAAAAATTCAAATAACATAGAAATGAGATCGCTATGAATACTATACGTGGTTACTCAGGTTGCTGTCATTACGTTAAACTCACATCCGAAGTTTGGATGTGAGTTTGACGGAACCAAACCAGAGCCATACATTTTACTTCAAATCTGCATCCAGACCATAACCATCAGCGACATAAGCCCACCCATAGCATTAGTGTGCCCGACCATGCTACTCAAATTAGGCAAATTCTTGGTTGGATTTTGGCAAACACTGCCTTTAGCATTACTTGTGCCCACCCATGGAAAAACAATGTCACCCATAACCCATGGGCATGGGCACCCAATGTCGGGCTCTGATCCAAACATATGAGGAACGAGCCTTTCCTACTTATTCTATAGTCAGCACTCATCAACCTATATATGCAACAATAACTCCATAAGTATGTAGCCTAATGCACAAGAGTTATCTTCACATGCTTTGGATTAGATCAAATGTACAACCTATTTTTGTTCATAATGATAAATTGTGACAGTTTATATAGCGCGTCACAGTGGAAGTGAGCATATAGCAATGAAAAATTGATGTTCATTGGGGTTATAAAAACCATGTGTATAATGATAATGTTTTGTTATATATTGACAAGAGTCTAGTTGGTCTAATAATATTATTCACAAAATCTTTTACCATCATGATATATTGTAATCTTATAATTAATTTTAAATTCATTTGAAGAGTTTACACTTTAAAACATTTAATTTGAGTACAATTTGAAATATAATTTTTTATAAAAAACTGGAGCATACATATCACAAGCATCAAACATATATATTCAAATGAAATACAATATGTCAATGTATCTAAGAAACTGGACACCAAGTTTACAACCAGAAACTGTCAGGGAAGATGTGAATAAACTAAGTATCTCGTGTGTACCTTCTGATCTCGTGCAACACCTCGAGACAGGTTGACAAAATCGTAGCAGACGAGAATGAGAGAAGTACCCATCCGCCGTCCAAGCTAACCACTGCTCAAGGACAACGGGCGGACAACAAAAAGTAATTGTCATCGTTCCTGCAATTTCTTTTAACACATTTTAGTTATGTTCTGCGTGGGAATATTGAACCCCGTGCGTCGGCGCCCCTGTTCTCTTTCCTTTTGTTTAAGCGTTTCAGGAACAGCTTTACTTACTGTCCTGTAAAAGGTGTACGTTGCAGAAATCACCGTCGGTAAGGATGCTGTCATCCTTGATGGTTTCCTGATTTCACACGTGCATACAGTACAAACATGTGGAAGTTGTAAATCTTGTAGGTCTGTGAAATCCGCAAAATTCGCATGGTTGCTCAATTTGCCCCTACGAAACAATGAAATCAGATGACGGTAATGTGACTACAGGCGAAGTTTTATATGCCTCGACACGAGATTGATGGAAATCAGCAGACCGCCCCGAAGACTATCGAGTTTGATTGCAATTGAGGTTGTTTAATGCAGCAGAAGAATGTATTCATAACTTGTACGTTTCGTGAACAAGATAGATGAGTGCAACCGTGCAACCACGTCAGTGGTCCACCTCTTCATGTCATCTTGCACACTACCTGTTCTTCTTGCTATCTGGGGGTTTACATGTGTGAAATTCGAGCTGCTAGTCTGCTTTGAAGTGTTTCAATGACGTTGGTTATTGGTGATATAATTGATATCCGAATGAGATGTCTGGCTAATTCATGCTGGCTGAAATTGATGGATGCTTTAGGGTTCAAAATTGGAAGGCCCTGAGCACTGCAGCGTCAGTTCAGCTCGTATAAATTGTTGCTCGACTCCACGCCAAGTTTCTTAGTCTGCTGGGCATGCCCTCTTGCTTCAGAACTTTCTGTCATCAAAATATTTAATGCCGGTCTTTGAAACACAGAGTTAAGATCGAGGAATGAAAGCATAACTTTGGATTCAAATTGTGCTTTTGCTTTTGCTTAAGACTTCTTGTTAATTTTAGCGGTGAATATGTTAGTAGGTTTGAATGGTAGAGTGTAATTGGGCGTACTGCATGTTCATAGTTGTGCCTCTGATTCTCAGTTTCGCCGTGTTTGTCGTTTCCAGGTATTTTATCTGTGAGGGAGGAGACGAGAAGGATGTATCTGTAGTTTCTGAGCTTCAGAGTACTGAGGTTGTGCTTGGAAGTATGACTGAAAGGAAGAAGATAGATTTTTGGAAGAAGCCTACTCAGTCATCTTTGAGACCTTACCAGAGACAGAATGTCACTCGCCCGATCGCATTTGTTCAGCCTATTATCCCCTCACAGAAAGATGATTCAAAAGATAGTGAACCATCTTCCGACGAAGAGGCTGACGAAGTCCTGGTTCGTTTCCTACGCACATCGAGCTCGAGCTCTTTAACGAAAGGAAAAGATGAATGAATAATCTATAAATCTCCTGTATCATGCGGAAGATGTAGCGTTCCTGATTGTGCTAGAGTGAGCAGGGCATGCGTTTTAAGTGCGTTTGATTTACCTCTAAACCCAGGAACTGTTCTCACCATTGCAGCACTTTGTTCTTACCAGGATCCTGGAGCTGTTGAAGACGAGGCAGAGGTTCATACTGGATTCAGAGCAAGTTTTCCCCTCTCATTCGGTAAGCAGGAAAGCAAAGTAATATCCTTAGAAAATGTTCACTTGAAGACCCAGCGGCCCACAGTCGGCGGAGTCAAGAGCGCGGCCGTTGGAGAAGAACTTTTGGTTAATAGATTTGGGACGAAGGGCTTCGGCGAATCTGCTCTGCCGAAGAAGGTTGAGGTTTATGTCGAAAATGAACGATCTAGACTGCCTACAAATTGCCACGATGACGAAGAACTTACAGCTGGCTCCCGCATGCCAAGCAGAGATCATGGAAAACAGGGCAGTGAAGACGATGAGAGCCCTATTGTCGGTCCTCCTATGCCAAGCAGACATCATGGAAAACAAATTGACGACGATGAGGATGGTCCTATGGTTGGTCCTCCTATGCCCAGCCGAGCTCTCATAGAGGGTAGTAGTAGTGATGAGGACGAAGAGGATGATACTGCAGATGATAACAGTGGAGATGAGTTTCGTGTGCCGCTCAGCAACGAGATTGTTCTGAAAGGGCATACCAAGGTTTGTGTTCTTTTTCATATACTTTTCAACATGTACTAGACAAGGAGGACAAACCTCCTGCGAATTGTTTGGTAATAAGCAGCGAGTTCTCTAATATGGAAGCGAAACCAGGTAATAAGTAACATTGGTCTGCTAGTGAAGTCAAAGCGGTATACCTAGTTTACTAGCTTTGGTCCGAAGCACATAGCGGCCACACAGCAGGTGATGTAATAGATGTATTTGATATATCTCAGTCATAGGTAAATCCCACTACAAGAGAATCCTTCTTTGTTCTCAATTAGAGTCGTCTCCTTTCCTCCTACTTCTGTCGCATCTTTTCTTAAAACTAAATCTCTTAGGTAGGGTGCTATTTCTTTTACTACGGGCCATGTCAGACACATACTAATGAGTACAGTTAACATCCGGTATCTAGTGACGTGGGTATGCTTACGGGGGAGGCTGTTGATTCTTATCGATTATAGTCAAAAACTTATGTGATTCGAAAGAAACAGGCAAAGCTGCGAAAATGATTGGAATCCAGAAAATCTCGTGTGACATGTTGGGCATGGAGGCAAATTTACAGAATCGGAATAGTCAAGGGGAGACCTACTAAGCCTTGATTGATTCAGGTGCAAGGTGACATTATTGTCCTTAGGATTAGATTGTGAAGATGGAAGGAGGGCATTTTAAAGCTTTGGTGACAGGCACTTACAGTTCACACAGAAACTGGACAGAGAAGAAGCAATCACAATCAGATATCTTTTTCTCAACACTCTGGATTCGATTTTCCTTGGTGTTCGTTGTCTGGGATTTTCCCTAAAGTTCCAGTTCCGAATCCCCATCATCCGTCATCAAACTGAAGATGAGGAAGCTGTGGAACCAGTCCACTATATGGCAAGGAGGACACACTTCCTGTCTCATATGTGAAGCACGCAGCTCTCTTTTTAACATGAAAGCGAAACTGTAAGTAGCATGGACCCTTTCACCAAGCTGTTGACGGAGTCCCTAGACCTAATCCAAAGCTCAACTCGGCCGCATTTCTAAGTTATGGTTATTGCGGCTTTCTGAATCAACGAGGGGATGATTTAGTAATGGATATCTTCGTTGATACCTGGACTCTCCAAAATAATGTTTCACGTATGTTATAAGGCCCACGACAAGAGAGACCCTCTTCACCTTCTATACCTGTAGTCCTTTCTCGTATTCCTCCTGTTTCTATCCTTCTTTTCCAAGTAGTCACTATCGCAGTCAGGGCGCTGGATTTATGGTGTTCAGGCTAAGGGCAGGCAAATCAATTGACAAGAGTTCCTCTTAACAGTCGAAATCATCTGGCTTTAGTGGTCTTTACGCTTTGTCGATCGGTCGCCACGAATAAAATGTTCCTGAAAGTCTCATTTTTAACCTGGTCACGAATCTATTGACTACTGGAGAGCATGTTGGTCCAAAGAGCTAAGTTATCGCGATATGCACATCCTTTGAAGTCTCCGATTTAAAATAAGACGATGGTGTTGTATCTACTCTTTATATTTTACTGCAGGTGGTGTCTTCTTTGGCTGTGGATCCGACAGGGTCGAGAGTTTTGACCGGAGGTTATGATTACACGGTGAAGATGTACGATTTTCAAGGCATGAATGCACAGCTGCGATCATTTCGTCACTTAGAACCTAGTGAGGGCCACCAAGTGCGCTCTTTAAGTTGGAGTCCAACTGCCGATATGTTTATCGTCGTAACTGGATCAGCTCAAGCGAAGGTACATAATTCGACATGTGATGTAGACTTTTCTTTGTTGTAGAAAACCTCCTCGGTTAGGGGACCGAAATTTTAGGCTACTTAGGAGACGCGCAGATCATCGGTATATGTTTGCATTTGCTGTTATCTCAAAATCGCTTGCAACCTGCAAGCGATTTTGATATATACAGGCCTCCATCTAAATAATACGACCCCACTGGTTTTAGCAGGATGGAACTTCAGAACGTAGAAAGTTAAATAGTCTGAATTTAACCTTTTCTAACGCTCGTTGCTTCAAACTCTGGAATGTGTAGATTTTCGACAGAGATGGGTTCACATTAGGTGAGTTTCTCAAAGGGGATATGTATATTCGGGACTTGAAGAATACAAAGGGCCATATATCAGGTTTAACCGCGGGCCAATGGCATCCTAAGGATAGGGAGAAGGCTCTAACTTCTTCCGAAGATGGCTCGCTTCGAATTTGGGATGTCACCGACTTCAAGTCTCAAAAGCAGGTACACTTCTGATAAGCCTGAAAGATTATGAGAATACGCAAGAATTAACCGTCTTACAGTGTATTCTTTGATAAGTGGCATCGTAATACAGGCGTGTTGCATACTATGAGCAAATGAGAAGGCATTTGTTACTTCGCTTTGTTCTTTAACCATTTTTTTTCTAGTAAAGGACTAATTGCTCAAAAGTGCAGGTTATTAAACCCAGGCTAGCTAGGCCTGGTCGCGTTTCTGTTAGCACTTGCTGCTGGGGACAAGATGGGAGGTGTCTTGCGGGTGGTCTTGCAGATGGTTCAGTTCAGGTATGGAGTTTTGAGGACTTTCTATCAGAATTTTGAGGATTTCTGGCGAGTTGAAGTTTACTCGTGTTTTCGTTTCTTCAGTTTTAAACTTTTCTCAATTCATTTCCAGAACTTCAATCAAGACCTCAACTTGGAAAACTTTGTGCGGAGCTCTATCGGTAATTTAAGCATTTATATGCTTGGATTAATTCTGTCTGTTCTGACGTTGTGGTCACAATCACCGGCTTGTAACAGGTATGGAATGTCAAGGCCGGTTGGGGTAGTAGACCTGATATATACATCGAGAAAGCGCATGAAGGAGGTGATGACGTTACAGGACTCTGTATATCTGCGGATGGATACACTCTTCTAAGTAGAAGCACCGACTGCACTATGAAGGTGATTATTGTTAACTGGCCACCGGACACGTGGTGTTGTTGGACACCTTGCTTAGGTTAAGGAGTAGCTTTTTCTGCCTTCCCCTTCTGCCAGGTTTGTGAATGTGTGGAGTTAACCGTCAGCAGTTTTCGGTGGTTTTTTATACTTTACAGGCAATTCATGTACTCACAATGAATGTGGGATATAATGAAGGCTGGTGTAGAGTTTGGAAGCATGTGATAAGTGAAATATGTCAGTGATTACCAGTGATTACAGTTACTTACATATGTGACGTGTAGTTTTAATCACTTATCAAACTCTAAGGTTATGTACTACGTTTGCATTGTTGCAGGTTTGGGATCTGCGACAGACTAAGAGGGCTGTACAGGTTTTTGATGGGCTTCCTAACTCCTACGCACAGACCAATGTTTCGTTCAGTCCAGATGAGCGTCTCATTTTGACCGGGACTTCGGTTGAGAGAGCTGGTTTAACTGGGGGACTACTTATTCTTTTCAGCAAAAGTAAGCTTGAGCTTGTGCGCAAAGTTGGACTGTCTGCCACTCAAAGTGTCGTTTGCACGTATTGGCATCCACGACTCAACCAGGTATTTTACTTCTGGAGTCCTGCTTTAGTTTTACGTGTAATTTTGCGATCAGTTGTGTGGTGGAATTGCCGGTGCTATGGTTTTTCTATGGCTCAAATATTTCACACTGAGGTCACCACTGAGTTAGAAACTGTCACGTTGTTCGTAATCTGATATCAGTAGGGAGTAGTATAGTAGAAATTTCGGTTGAAGCACAGAAAGAAAGAAAAAGAGCATCGGGAGACAGGTATTGGGACCAAGTGGTGCTAATTCCTGAACAATTTATATTTATGAGAGGAGCAGCTGCATAAACTTTGTTCGGTTTTTTTGAAAGCCTTTGTGAACCTTTTCAACAGATATTTGCCACTGTTGGTGACAAAAAGGAAGGCGGTACGCATGTCTTATATGATCCAGCTATTAGCGAGAGGGGCGCTCTTGTCTGTGTGGCTCGAGCTCCTCGAAAGAAGTCAGCAGATGATTTTGAGCTGAAGCCAGTCATCCACAATCCTCATGCACTCCCGATGTTTAGAGATGACCCAAGTCGTAAACGACAACGTGAGAAGGCGCGTTCAGATCCAATTAAGTCCAAGAGACCTGACTTGCCTGTCACTGGACCTGGTTTTGGTGGACGAGTGGGCACTACGAAGGGAAGTCTACTCACACAGTATCTCATGAAGGTAAATGTGGTCGTTTCCTGTTCAATCACTGTACTTGCAATTAGTTCCTTAAATGAGGTAAATGTGAATTGACATTGTAAATTTATCCCTGTTTACCATCTTCTGTCTTCCAGGAGGGTGGACTGATTAAAGAGACTTGGATGGATGAGGATCCGCGTGAAGCTATCTTGAAACATGCGGAGGCAGCTGCCAATGATCCACAGATTATAGCGCCAGCATATGCGGAGACTCAACCGAAGACTCTGTTTTATGAATCAGAGGAAGATAAAGAGGATTGAGTGGTAATTTTTCTTTGATTAACAGGCATACCTGACTTTTGCTTTTCGATATCGATGAAACTGAATGTGAAATAGGGTGAGTGGAGAGTGAGAGTAAATTTTACTCCATCATGTTAACGTAAATTGTTGCAAATGCTAAAACTTTATGATTTGATCCTCCAGGTTCTTGAAGAAAATCATTTCTTGCTTGTGAGTCGGTGATCACATCATCAAGGATATGATTCTTCTTGTACGGGTAAGGTTGTAATTAAATTCAGTTAGGCTCTTCAACGCTCTCGATCAAGCAAAATTGTTCGAGCATGTACTGTTTGAATGTGTTTACTTATGGTTGTTATTCCCATTGATAGTCTGTCGTTCCTATCTAAAAGTACCAAGGGATTGTTGTGTGTACGTTCTGTGGCAGCTTCTTACTCCTGCATACGTAAAGAGGAAATGATAGAACATAGTAGGATGCTTTACTTCGCAGTCCCATATGATCGAAAGTTCGGCAAGTACATCAGTGAAAAATGGCTTCTAACATGATCGTAGAAGGAATGTCTGCTCACGAGACTTGCTTGGTTACGAACGTTGTCACCAGACGAAATTCGACAAGAAGTAAATTGGACACTACCAATCTCATCGACTAAGAGGTGCAGAGTTCCTATGAGGTTGATCGCAAGCATTTGTTTAATGGTGCCCTAGATTCAGAAGTGACATGTTGGACAGTGGAATAGATTTGTAGAATTAGCGTGCAAAAGTAATAGCACTGACTAAGATTCGGATCCTTCTTAAGCTTGCGAGGACAAAATGTTCACCTAGAGTGCTCATGTACCAGGGCTCATTCAGAATACAGCTGTCAATTGAAGTCCTCTAGTATTTAATCCACCTATCAGTGGGTTTATTGTTCTTCTCCTTCTCTATCTTCTGCATATTCTGGAGTTTAAGATGAGGTTCAGATCACAATGGACTGTAGAGCTGCTATGAATCTGAATTGGCTGTTTGTAGTACATACGTCGTTTACAACAGGGCTTGCGGAGAAGAAGCTCTCCGACGATTAACACTAGGTTTATTTGATTCCAGAGCTCTCCAGATACATCTCTGAGCATACTCCTGGTGCGCCAGTAGAGGAGGCGCTGGTTTGACAGTGTGGCCTCATATCCTGTGCAAAGAGCTGTCTTTTCATGACGAAAGTTACTGAATACTCTAAATTGCTAACTTTTGGTTCCCCCCAATATTCGGAGTTATGCAAACCAGTGCATAGTCAAGAATCAAAAGAAGAGCTTTAAAAGAGATAGGTATTATCTTGCAGGACATCTGATTACTAGAGTTAATGTTTTCTATTCATCGGTTGAAGTGATTTGGGGTCTAATATATAGAGCTGACAAACTTGGCATGTGCTCTCTGCCTCGTCTTCTCGACGAAGAGATTGGGTCATGCTGGCAGCGAATAACATCCGCTGAAGTGTAAACATAACATATTTTTCAGAATGGAAAGATGTCTTCAAGTAGTTGGAGCCGCAGGTGAAACAATCACATAGGTTCTCGAGAACCGCTGAAGTGCCCTCTGCTGGATGGTTAGAGAGTACCTCAAGTATATACTTAATTCACTTTACATTAAGTACATAAGAAAAAATATTGTCAAGGAAAGGAAAAACGTAAGATGTTTGAAATGAATAGTTTTAATCTCATTGGGCCAGGACTTTGCTCCCTCTCTCTAGAGTCTCGTGGCAAGCACATACAATTGCTCTGACAATGTGGGCTATATCCGGGGCTTGAATGGATAACAGAAACAATTTAAAAAAAACATTCGTTCACAGTTGCATGATTGATGGGAAAAAATCGAGCTCTCGTGATATTCTCCATAAAACGTGTCATCGTGTAGCTCCTCACAGCGATGTAATAAAACTTTTGATCGGAGTCGCAGTCTTAACTGATTAATAGTTGAGCAGCTCAGAGAAGAGAAAAAGCTTTTCTTCTCCGAATGCAACCTTCAACACGTGAGGACGAAAACAACGATCGCTAATTCCAGCATCTCTGGAGCCTCTTTAAATTGCACCGTTGAACCCCCGATCCACATCTTGCTGTGCACTGACAGTACCAATATCCACTAATAGTTGTTTCTAGATATGATTGTTCGTTAACTTTTCTTCTAATTCGTCAATACGAGAAGCCCTCAGGCATCGTAAGATTCACTTTCATTGAGAACGGCTAGTTACACTATCCAGCTTGATATATCACGAACACATAACATAATTATACATACACAAAGATTTTTTAAAGATATCAAACAACTTACACGGTCCTTGCAAAAGGATAAGAGAATTATTGTACAACATTGACGTCTAAATAAATAATTTCGGTGATATCTTAGAGACTTTGCAACGATGATGCATACGTTCGTCTTGGGTTAATTCCTATCCAGCTTAAAGTGTAGCATTCAATCATCATGCGTTAGTAGTGTATATTAGCTTGATGTGCGTATGGTTTGATGGTCATCTAATCGATGTACGCATATAAACTTCAACTACAGGAAGATACACACGTAGATTTCGATTAGTTATAATGTCATTGGGATCCATAAAACTTGTTTCTCATTCCAAGATAGACACTAATCATAGTATCATGATAGCAAATAGTAATGTGCTGGTTGTGTTATTGATTTCACGAGAGGATAGAATTTATGTCACAACAGTCATAAATACTCCATTGTGTGCCACACTAAAAAGTAAAATTGCTTATTTCTTGTAGTCAACTCAAGTAGATATAAATCTGGTCCAGAATATCTCGTTATTGCCACGAGATTGTCCCTAAATGTACCTAAATCTCTACTAGTCTTGGATTCATTATGAATCCAAGACTAGTAGAGCTACAATGACAAAGCTGTCCAAGTATAACGGTATATAAAACTTTCATCTCTTTGTTCATTACTCTTGGAGTTAGATTGAACTATAGAGTCTAACGTTTTCAACTCCATCCTTATGGAGTATATGTAAAATCACTTTCTTTGTCATATGGGGATTTTACCTCATCATGGATCCGAGACAAGAAGATCTGCAGTAGCCAAAGATTTCAGATATAAGGGTTTTTAAATATCTCGTCTCGTAATTCGCTTAGAGTCATGTAAACCATTGGACTTTGACAAGTTAGCGCTATCCATAGAGAGCGCAAGAAGCCATAATGCTAGGGGATAGTAGCAACAATTATGCATTGCTTCAAGAGAGGTAAATCAACGTCGCACTTTAGAGCACATCATGTTAGGTGATGATTTGTGGGATGTCACATGTTGATAGATTGGTGAGATATACTGGCCACCTTGTGATGCTATTGGGCCTAGCCCCATTCTACCAGGTTCGTTTAATCCCCTAAACCACTCGACGGGGCTTCACATCTTTATGCTATGTTGCTCGGTGTTCGTACAACGTACTCAGCCAGGCTTGTCTTCAGTGACCAGTGATATGCACCAGCAGATGAGCAAGCATAAACAATACTGTGTATGGAAAAGTTGACAGTTCGGGAGAGGCTTTGATATTCTCTTTCATCCACGCAGTCAATTCTTCGGAAAGTGGCATGGAATGCGCATAGCAATCAGTCGGGGTTCTTGCAAGAGCCACACACACTGTAACCACTAAAGCGAAAGTCAGCTTGCGAACGAGGAGCGCTGTACAGCTACAGTGGAGAACGCGGTCCTCCAAAGGGAGTACCGGTAGATCTGTGTGAGAGAAGCTGTAAACTGTTCGAGAATTGTGGTCTGAGGTTTTGAAGGTCGACAGTTGTTGATGGAGGCAGATCTCTTGAATTTAGTTCGTGCTAGCGACATTGTGATTTGGGCTTTTTGACAATCCCAGTCACAGATGGCGCTTGCACCGAGCGAAGCAGGAGGGGAGGGAGTGAAAGGAGGAGGTTGTGGAGAAGGGGGAGGAGAAATTCGACGGATCTGGTGCAGGATTCCCAGGAGTTAACAGTGGGTTTTGTTGGACCCGTGCATTGGAGTGGAGAGTGATTGAAGGACTCTTGAGGACTGAAGCAGAAGCCGTAGGAGCTTTGGTTAAGAGGAAGGCGGGGTTCTTAAGGAAATGCAGTCGGCACAGGAGGCTAGAGAGGCCAGGCGCCGAAAGATTTTGGCTCGGGGCGCGGATCGTTTGGCCTACATAACAGGGGAGCTGCCTGCTATCTCCACCCCGTCGCCCACCACATCATCTTCTTCGTCCTTTGCTGCGGCTGAGGCCCCCACCTCCTCTGTACGATCAGGAGATGCAGCTCTAATTCGTCTTGTCGATTCTGGCTCATCTGTTCCGCGAGACGGTGATGCTTCAAGCGGTAGTCTCCTCTTCCTGATTATTCCGCCGTCGCTTGAGACGGAACTCGTCTGGTTTCCAAGTTTTCTTTGATGGAGTTGTAGGACTCTCAGTGATATAGGGTTTTGTAGCTTTCAGTAGGAGCTTACTTCGTCATTTTGAACGAGACTGGTGCGAAAAATGTTTTGATTGTTTTTCGCTCTTGTTAGCGGCGTCAATTCGAGGATGCCCCAGAGCTTTTTTCTGCATTCTACTAAAATGAGCTCAAATTTCAACCATTACTTCTGAGTGTCGTGTTCAGAAACTCAAACTTCTCTTTCCACTTCAAAGAGCCGGGTGCTGTACACAGGTTGTGCAAGTGAAAGGAACAAGATATGGCTATTGCTGTTGTAATCAGAAAATATCACTGCTTCGAATACTTTTACCTTGTCGTATCCCAGTCCTACTCTCCTGATAGTAGCCCACATTTTAATAGTGTCTGTGAAATGAAGGGTAAGAGTTAGTAAATGCAATTTGTGTTCGGGTCGAGACAGCATTAGGCGGTTTCGTTATTGCAGGAGAACAAATTGTCCGCTGTTGCCGCGTAACAAAACGCAATATTGATACGACCTTTGTTGCTGAATTTCGAATTCAGATGCCAAGTCCATGCCCTTGCTCTGCTTAGTTTTTTGCTCCATGGTCAAAGTACTTCACTACTTCCTTATCGGCGAAATTCAATCAAACATTTCCTGTGCTCTGGTTCATTGTTAGAACAATGGGACCAGGTCGTAATGTGTGATAGCTATGAAACTACGGTCTATGGCTGGAATGTGGACTTCCTTACATGCCGCTTTTCTGACAGTGCTTAGACAGATACCAGTGTCGTTGTGCTTTATATTCGACTTTGGCAAGAGTCTTTAGGCTACTATCCCCTTCCCTAGTAGGTTTCTATTCAGAACACTCGAAATGTCATCACTATGCTCTCACAAGAACCGAAAGTGTGGTAAGAATGACTTGGAAAGCCGGATCTGCTGAATGGTAGCCAGGTTGTTCTCTTTCTTTGTCCCGTAGAAAACTGAGAGTACCATGGACGCTCTTTGCATAAGATCGCCTATGCCTCCTATGTATCGAAATTTTAATATTCAAGCAGTTTCTTTAAGTAGGTTCGTTCCAAAGCATATCAATTTGTTCATTGTGTTTAAACAGCTGCAAATCGCTAGCACCTTTATCTGTATGTTATTATTCTTATTTCCCATGCACGAATCTGCGTCTGTCAGTGTATGGAGTCCTGAAAACAGGACTTCTTACAGGTACCAAAGTATCCGAGTCTTGTCCTTCACCGTCAGATGTCTCTCCTTCACCCTTTTCTGTGTTTTGACGTTTGTACATTTTTACCCAAGTGGACTTTCTGTAGGAAAGCACAAGAGAGCCACTCAGTTTAATACAGCTCATCCTTATTGCTCTCCCTAGTCAGGTTTTCGTACGTACTTAAAGCTTTCGTTCATCCTTGTCTAAACTTTTTAACTGGGTGTATCCTCTTAGACACACGGTATTACCATATTGTTCAGAGTCGTCTATGAGGATTATCTATTTGCATGTCGAATGCGAAGAGACAACTAAACTTCCAAATTTCTCTGCAGATCTCGAATATGATATCAAATCCAGCACAAGAGTTCTCAAAGACGTTCGTGAGCAGCTCGCAGCACTCGAGCTACAGGATCGCGAACCTGGACAAAAAGTGAAATTAGTACCAGTATCACAGCTTACAATCTCTAAACCCAGCGAAAGCGCTTCTCTAACCCTCGCGGATCATAATCATGATGCGAAGGGATCTGAAGTTCGTGTACGAGTTGCTGTGAAGAAATCACTGCTGAGTTGGGAGGGAATTGGTCGTTCCATTAGTGCTACGGAAAATGTTCGTGCATTGTGGGCACTTGGTCTGGCTCTTCTTTTAATCGCACAGAGCTTCTTATCCTGTAATGACGATCTAGGGAGCTTTTTGAGCAGCTGGACTCCACCTTGGCCAGTAGCTTTAGTCGTTGTCACAGATATTTCTCTGGTATTCGGAGCACTGCTTTTGGGATATGTAAAATCTTCACGTCCTGATGGAGACGCAGACAATGACATAGGTGTCAACCAGGAGAAGATGATGCAGGCTTTGAATATGGCAACCAGGCTGGAGTTTGTTTTGCAGGTAGGGCATATTTCCTTGAAGAGCCTCCAGGCTTTGTTCGTGGATTGTAGCATTTATATAGTTGTCCTCGTCAGTGGTGTTTCTCTAGCGCAGATATGGCGACCCAGTTTTTGTTCACTGGTCAACTTGTGACTGATTCAGTGTCTTCGAACTTTTTTGGGATATCTACCTTCGCTTTTTTTTTGCCTGAGCACAGCATCTTGAAGAGGCATTATCGACAGCAAGCTGGATATCTTTCACCTTATTGGTAATCGAAACGTTGTAAGTAAATTCAGAATTGGTACACTTACCACTATTAATTTGCGATAGAAAAGCTCTTATATGACGAAGTAAAGAGAGTAAATCTCATCAGGTATGACCGGAGAGTATACTCACTGTCTGCACGTTTGAATGTCAACTTTATTAAAGTATGTGATGCCTGGTTTGGGCATCGAAACTGCTTTGCCGCGTTACTCGACATAATTTCCGGTCGGGAAGTATAATTTCGTTCTTTGACTTGTGCTTGAATGCCCTTGTCTTGTTCGCTTGTTATGAATGTCTAATGTTTTCTGACGGTTGTAGGTAACAAGAAGTGTCAGTCCACGAGTGCTCATTGTAATTTTCTGTAAATGATCGAAGCGCAGTCTGCTGATTCGGCGTCTACCATACTGCTATCGTAAATCTGTGCAGTGTAGAACATGTCACTTTATGCGCATGCTTTCCGCCGGCCAAAGAAACTCTTGGCCTTTCCGCAATGGCCACAATGATTCTATTTTTAGGTGGGCAGCTAGCACTAGTATACGTACTTAAACACATACATATGGTATGGATAATTGGTGGCTTATTATGTCAAGATTTGACATAACAAGCCACCAATTGTAAGAGAACTCTCATTGTGAGAAAGATCAGATTATAACATGGCTCCCAAAATTAGTGAAAAAATTGAGGGAGTGTGTACGTCTGAAATAAGATGAATCTCCTATCTACTCACAAATTTTTTACAAATGTGTCTTAATGTTACTACATAAATAATAAATAATGAATACTAATAATATAATAATATATAATAAAGATGCACGTAAGTTTGAAATGTCGTCACATTAAATGCAAGAAATATTTAGCGTCAAGATGGAGAACAGAGTTTTCATTAAATGGGTGAAGTTGGATGTGTGGAAAACTCTACAAGAAAAACTAGTTGAAGGAAGCTTGATTATTCGATATGTCGGTATCAAGAGTGAGGACGTTGTTTTCACCGAAAAGCCACTTACACCAAAATGCACATACGTACTACACACTTCATGATATCAGTTTATGTGTATACATACGGAAATGGATGAAAAGACTCATTAGTAACAGAAGTCATTTCCAGTAAGATTACTCGTCAATTGAAGACATGTACAGTAGTTATGAATGACTTGCACATCAATTGCATAAATATGTGTTTAGTGTGAAAGAGTGGGTGTTGATTTTCCTAACATGAAGGCACTTCATCTCATTGAGAAATCATAGTAATCTGTCTACTGAGAAAGTTTTGTTTCACGTAAGTAAAGTAATTGTGAAAACTATTGTTAAGTATCTCTCTTGTTACGACATGGAATACATGCATGAAAAGATACAAGTAAACCTTCAGAATACAAGGTCAGTTAGTACTGACCTTGTATAATTGATATTTTCTCCTATTTCAAAAACAAAAACTAGATGTAACAAATGTTTAACCACACAGTACAAAGTGTGATATATATATTACTTCTAAAATAAAATTGGATTACACCTCGACGATCTAAACTTTTCAACACTCATAGAGATTGTTATTTCTTGTAAAAAGGCTTGTTTAAACTCTTGCTCCTGCAAAAATCGAAGTTGGTGGTTCTTGAATCGACTGTGTGTTTAATTTATTTCATATATAATTAGTGATACTTTCCATAATTTTTTCACCTTGTCTTGCTTTATCCAACACCTGTTTATTTTTCTTATAAAATAATAATTATTAAGATTGAAAAATAGATATATGTAGAGAAGTTGATTTTTGTGTTCAGTGCTGTGATTTTTGCAATGATGCATGAAGATAGATTCCTCGCAATGTAAGAGTGGATGACCAGCTATTATCTTAAATGGCCGATGAGTGAGGGAGTAACTCCCAAGAGGTGTAAACTCTATATTTTTCTGACATTAGATTATATAAAGCTATAAACGGGGACTCTGACTTGTTTCTTTTTTAATCATGTAACATACTTTAATGACATGGATGTTGTTTTAGCAAAGATCTTTAATTCTAATGAGTTTACAGTAGTTATAAAGATCACTAGCAATCATGATGAAGCCACGGTTTACGTTCATGTTGTTTTTAGACCAATTAACTTGTTAAATATGATAGATGAGATGGTGAAGTGAATGTATTTTATTGTGATAATATGAAAACCTTCCGCTTAATTTCATGTGTCATGTCAACGGAGTTTGACATCATGGTGTATCTTCATCTTTTTGATACGTTCTTGGACCTTTATACGTTATAAAAGTATACCATGTTTGAGTTCTATAATTTATTCATGAGACGGTATTCTAGATGGTTTCTTAAGATCAAGTTTTAAGAAGCTTTATATCATAAGCCCGTCTTTCATATTGGGAGTAAAAGAAACATGTTTACAAGTCTACAAGCTTCCAATGATGGAGGACATTACATGATAGAAAGGTAGATATTAGTGATTTTATTGACACTACATAATCACGTAATAATATAATAACACTATGTAAAGGAGAAATTAAATCTTGGTAAGAAGAAACTCAAAACCTGGAGAAAATCAGACGCAGATCTAGCACAAGTTATGGTAATGAGAGTCTTGTTTTCGCATCAGGTGTGAACCTTCGGTGAAGTATGTCGGATATCGACAGCCACAGGTTAGTGACGGTAGACGGCAAAGTTCTTCAGTTCAGAATCCGTCACGTGAGTGAGTGACGGCAATGGAAAGAGAAAACTTTATCCAGCAGTGATACTTATGAACCACCGGGTGGAGAATAGCGGAAGGATCCCCGGAAGGTACCACAAAGGCTGCGTGGGGTACCAACCTCCAGTCTAAGGCTCTAGAAGTCAGGCCACGCCGGTCTGGGAACTCTTATGGGCCGGAAAGCCGGACTGAAAGTTCCCTCGCGTTCCTTCCACAGCTGTCCCGGGCTCTGCCTTGCGAAGTTGGACTTGCTCTCTGCTCCCGTTCTACAAAACCAGTAGGAAAGGACGGACAGAGCCATCAGTGAAGAAACCCTAAAGACATCCTATTACCATTCTGCGGTTTTAGGGCACGAAATCGTCTGTCTTTCTCTCTTTCTGCCGGGGGCCTTCCCAAGCGCAGCGCTCGGTCTTCATCTTCCAGGGGCCTCACTTCTTCACTCTTTCGTTCTTTCGTCACAGCTGCAGTTCACTGCCAAGGATTTCGCAATGGGTCGCAGTAAGTTCCCAACCTGATCGCCTTTCGCTTGAGATGTGTCCTTGGAGATGGTGTTTAGAATGTGTCAGTGTTGAAGAATGTGTAAGCTTTAGCTCGGAAATACGGTTCGTAGGCCTGCCTATCTGTTCTATTCGAGATTGGTCTTCGTATGATCGTTCCTAGTATGTAACATTATTTGTAAATTTGCTACCGAGCTGATTCATCTCGCAAAGATGCCGCCCCTCGTACTACGCTTCCATTTGTTCTACAGAATTGTCTGCGAGTGATTCTCTTGGAAAGTGTTTTCCAAGGGTTGGGATTGTCCCCGGGATTACTTCTTCGTGTTGATCGAATAGTGTTCCATCTCAGTATTGACACTTACACTACGGGATGATAGTTGGATGAACTCGACACCTGCGTTCAGCTCATGATTCAATGTGTTGGTTCAGGGCCTGCAAGATGCTACAGGCAAATTAAGAACAAACCCTACCCCAAGTCACGGTTTTGTCGGGGAGTTCCAGACCCCAAGATCCGTATCTACGATGTGGGTATGAAGAGAAAGGGAGTTGAGGAATTTCCTTTCTGTGTACATCTCGTTAGTTGGGAGAAGGAGAATGTATCTTCCGAGGCTTTGGAGGCGGCGCGTATTGCGTGCAACAAGTACATGACAAAGTACGCTGGAAAGGATGCTTTCCACCTGCGTGTTCGTGTACATCCTTTCCACGTTCTTCGTATCAACAAGATGCTTTCATGCGCCGGAGCTGATAGGTAATTCCCATCTTAGTCTCTTCGTCAGTGTACTCGAGACTTCTTCAGAAATCATTCTTTTCTTCCCTTATTATTGACAGTTTGTGGACATGAAGTAACGGGGGAAAATATTTGATGATTGATCCACAGGCTCCAAACTGGTATGAGAGGAGCTTTTGGAAAGCCGCAAGGTACTTGCGCTCGTGTGGACATTGGTCAAGTTCTGTTGTCTGTTCGGTGCAAGGACAACAACGGAATTCACGCTCAGGAAGCCCTTCGTCGTGCGAAGTTCAAATTCCCTGGTCGACAGAAAATTATTATCTCCAGGAAGTGGTGAGTGTTTATATTCATTTGTCCCCAAGCAGTGTGTTATTATCTTAACTTTGTCCGATGTTGCTCCATTAGTTTTCTTCTCTGTCTGCGTCTTTTCAAATAACCACATATCACATTCGATTTTTCTCGATTTTAATGGAACTCTGTCTATGACTTTATTCCTTATTGAAAGCACCTACTTTGAAGTGCTCTACAGTTTTTCACTCTAAGACCAATATCCTTCGATGATACGGAAATTGAAGAAAGACCGGTCAAGGATTAAAGATTGAATCTGGTCTGTCCTACGATCTTTCAGGGGATTCACCAAGTTCGCCAGAACCGACTACATCAAGTGGAAGGAAGAGAATAGAATCGTGAACGATGGTGTGAACGCCAAGGTACGTCTCGTGTCATGTAACGCGATGACAAAATCATTGAGTTCATTTGATCAGTGTATCGCAGACCTCTATGTTTTGCAGGAATGTGTGCTCACTGCGTAGAAAAAAATGAGTCTTCAGAGTAAGATTTTACTTCTCATGACTTTTTGTGCCGACTTTAATTAGTGTTTTCGTCTGTGCAGCTTTTGGGTTGTCACGGACCTTTGTTCCGAAGAGGCAAAGGGAGAGCTTTCTTGGACGCGGCCGTTGCATCTGCCTAGATAGGAATCTTTTCAGCACAAAGCATTGTTCGATGTTCACACCGAGAATGAACTCTATCGTAAACGAACTTTTATCGTCTGGCATCGTTCCCTAATGTGATGTTTTATTTACACCAATCGTGGGATCTACACACTTGAATTTTGTAAGCAAAATGTCTCAAGCTGCTTAGATCTAAATACTGCCTTCACATTTGCTGAACACAATTTATTGTTATTGCGCACGTGTCCGCTGACTGTCTTCACCGACTTGGCTGTTATGAAGGATCTAGACTTTAAAAAGCATATAGACGATTTTACTGAATAGATATTCAGTAAACAGGGTCCAACACGTGTATAATGCTGCACTGGAAATTCGTGATGTTGACACGCACTTTGTAACGTGGTTTAACTTCCTGCTCAAATTTTATTACGTCTCACAAAGACCTACTTTCATAATTTAAGCCTTGCCGTATCACTGGAGTATTGTCAATGTTGGTTGTCGTTGATAGTTTTTCTGTTGAGTAGGGATTGATTAATGGTCACGATTCTGATCTCAAAAGGATTTGTGTTGTTCCTTCAATGTCGAATGTGATTTAAGGGTTCTTTTGGGATCTGATTCAAGTTTCACATATTAGGAGGTAGTCTCGAAATATAATATAGTATTCTTGGCATTAAATCATACAAGTTTGTAGGACAATAGTTTTCTTTACGTGACTGAGAAAGTATTTGTCAGCGATGGTCACGCACATACATGATATATATTGTGGTGAAGAATTGATGTTACAGTTTATTTGTCTTCTGATGAAATCAACAAAAAAGTAGCTATGGTTAAACAAGTAGATCGAAAACACAATTATAACAGCGAAAGATAAAGAAAAAATTTAAATCAGGAGGTGAAAAAAGATTTTTTCAGACGTGAAAATGCTAACTTTTACGACTGAGAAATGTATATTCAAGTTACCTGATCTGATGAAAGTATATGTTAAGAAAACTTTATGAGCGGATTTGTTAAACACAAAAAATGCAAAATAACCCAGAGTTATGATTATATCTCATCTTGACTGGAGTATTCCCCTGTACATAAAATAGCCTTGTAATTTCCAATATGGATCCCAATCGGAGTGGAAATAACTAGTTTGTACCTAAGTCTTTACAAATCCATCCCGTATAATGAAAAATAAAACTGCTGTAAATATACACATGTAGATAAATTGATATCATTTCCGTCAATTTTAGAAAAACTCATTTTACTTCGCATAAATCAAGTAGAATATAGTCAGGTTGGTGCACCATTGGTCGTCTACCGCATTATCTGGTTCTCTTGTTTTGGGTTACTAAGTTCTATTAACTTTATCTACTTTTCATAGATATTGAGTAGTTGAAATAACAATTAATGCAAATCACTAAACATAACACAATCAAACACGTAGATCTAAATTTTCATTGCAAAAAATAACAAGCCACAACTGACTTCTCAAACCAACATATTTTGGATAATATTTATTTCTTTGTAACTTGTGTGCACAAGTAGTCTTTCAAGCCACAACAAACCTTATCAAATGCCTCACAATAAGAAGATGTTGTTCAAAATCCAAAACAGAATCAGAAGAGACATAGCAAATAACGTGGTTGGTCCATTAGAATACAGATAGTGTTCAACATGACTTACCGAGCTTAGTAGTATAGCAGAAACATAGCCAGTTCATTAGAACCCCTAACGGATTGTCTTGGTACATTGAATTCACTATAAATTACGCACTGTACTGACTTTGATTATTCATAACAATCGTTTCCTTAACACATGTTAGGTAACAACAACCTCCTTAGCATATAATATTACTCTTAGGAAAGTCATAGAAACATATCTAACAAATAATTCTCTTTAAACTAGAGCCTTAACGAAAAGATGATAGAGTAAAAAAAAAAATATAAAAATTGCAAGTAAATTTTACTTGTGTTTCTCATGTGACACCTACATAGTAACACAATGTATTATACAACTCTCCGAAGTAATACCTTTGGTCAATGCATTAGTTGAGTTGAATTTTTCCGTCAATCTTGATTAGCTCAAACCTTTTATAAAAAAACTGTATATCTAATAAAGTGATACTTGATGCCAATGTGTTTCACTGCTATCCATCATTTGATTTGAAGCAAGATTTAATGCATTCTTGCTATCACAGTGAAGATTGAAAATCTTCTATTTCAATCCCATCTCAGGAAAACCTTATCCAATCAAATAAATTTTTTAGCTACTTTTGCTACCACTACATACTCAACTTTTGTTGTAGATTGAGTTACACACTTATGGAAGATAAATCTCCAACTAATACATCCATCATCAAGTGTAAACACATACCAAATTGTAATTTTTCTCCAATCTAAATACTCATTTGGTCACTATCACCATCAATGTTGTCTAACAAGAATTTGATATTGTCTAATGAAAAATTAAATAAAAAATCAAAATATTTTGTATACTTCAAACACCTCAGATCCCAATACACTACTTCCAAGTGCAACTTTTCTAGATTTGACATGTACCTCCTCAACCTAGAGCACTTTCAGGCCTTGTGCACACTATCACATACAAGAGTTTTGTCGCACTAAATAAATTACATCTTTCATTTCTCATCTTGAGTTGCAAAAAGTTTTAAATGTGATGCCAAAGGTATACAAACTCCTTTAGAGTCTACGTTGAACATATTTGCCTTGATTCAATCATAAATTCTTTTTTATCAAATCCTTATGAATATCTATATCTAATATTCTTTTAGACTTACCTAAATTCTTTATTTTGAGTGCACACTTTAATTGAATCTTGCATCGGTCAACATCAAATTGATTATTTACCAAGATAATTATGCCATTCACGTAGAATACAAAGTAATGAAATTCAAAATCTCATTATTTACTTTTTTCATGTATACACAAGATCATACACATTGCATGCAAATTTTTATACTTTCATGAACTCATCAAATCTTGCATTTCATTACTTTAGTAGCATTAGGATTAAAAAAGTTCACTAAAAAATGAAAACATAAACTCTGAAGATGATAGATACAAACAATGGTTCTCCTCTACTTATGTAGCTTCTACCAACAAGTACAAGAAGATAAGATCCTATTCCCAGTATCGAATCCACTCATAGTGGATTGATGACATAGCGGATGTATTTAATAAACACACAGATTGTTTATGTATTGCTCCCAACTAATATATCAACTAGCATACTCAATCTTTATCTAACAAACACACAGATTAATGACGTGTTATTTCCAACTAAAAAACTAATTACACACTCAACTAGCACACAGATTGTTGACATGAAACTATAAATATACCATTATCATCTATTCTATTCAATCTTGAGTAAACTCTTCTTTAGTTCTAACTAACCAAAGATGATTAAAAATCTTACTCTTATTATGTATGTGAGACGCCCTCGTTGCATATATGTTCAAACACCTTAACTATCAAAGATGCATTTGCTAAATTTTTAGTTGATTTCTCAGTTTATTTATATGATGGATAGTATTTTCATGAATCAAATACTCTACTTTGGAATATTTATGGCTTTGAATATGTTTTTTGAGTTTAATTTCTACCTCAAATTTCTCATGATTATCTTTCAAGGTTGGAAGAGTAGGTGGTGTTAGTTATGTGACAAATTGTTTTGGTCGTGATACATGTTTTTGCAATCGTGACACATGAAATCTCAAATGTATTTTCACATGTGACGGAGTTCCAACATGTATAACATTTCACCAACATGCTTCAAAACCAAGAATGAACCAATGAACCTAGGATTCAACTTTGATATTTCTACAAGAGACAAATTTGTTGTAGATAATCAAACATGATTATCTAGCTTGAGAATCAATTCTCTACTATGAGCGTTTGCATATTGTTTTTGTCAATTTTGAGCTAATAACGATCTCTTTTAGCCTAATGTAGTTATATGTGAATATCCTTCATAAACTCGTTGACGGCTGCAACTTTGGTTTAAAACTCATGTCATGTCGGAAGTTGCATCAAACTTGAAGAAGTTAGAGGATAAGTATCATACATGAAATAAAATGTAAACATTTTGTTGCATGCATTAAGATAATTGTTATATGCAAAGTCCACAAAAGATTATATACTCTTTTTCCTCTTCTAATGTGAATCCTCGTAGCATATATTCTATGGTTGTAGTTGTTTACTTCATTTGTTCATCAGTTTAAAAGTGATAGGATCTTGACATAGTTAGTTTTGTTTTGAAAAAACTAAACAAAGTGAAAAACTTTATACGTGATTAACACTTTACTTAAGCCATGATTCACAAAAATTTTCTCTAGATACAATTGAGCTAATTGTTGAGCTGATAATGTTTTTTTGGTTGGTTTGATATGAATTATCTTGTTCAGTTTGTACAAAAAATACCATTGAATCATGTACTAACAAAATCTTTAATAACTCACATACAAGATCCATGATGAAATGTTCTCATCGCTATTTAGGAATAAGAAGAAGCTGTAATAAACTAGCTGATTTTTGATTACTTGGCTTGTTTTCTTGACAAGAAACACAACTTTGAACGTAAGATTTCACATCCTCACGTATTTTGGACCAATAGTATATTTGTTGTATGCTCTCTACAATTTTCTTCACTCCCACATGACTTGCAATGGTTGTGTCATGACTTTTGGCCAAAATCATTATGCGCAATTCTTGATCGTGTGGTATCATGGTGTTTGTAGAACATCAAACCTCGAGACTTCTCTGTCTTCCCATTTTGTAGTGCTTGAGTGATCTCTTCATCATTCTTTCTCACTTGTGTCATCTTGCTTCACCAATCAGTTTGAATTTCACTTCTACAACATGATTTAGACAAGGTATACGTGTGAGAATATCTGCAAGTTACTTCTTGTACTCCACATACACAATCTTCATGTTGAAACGTTGACGCGTCATCTAATTTGTCATTTTAAGAGATACTTTGGAGTTTATGAATAAACCAAGGATAAATGATCGATATCCACCACAAACTCATCATCATCCAAGTAATGGTTCTAATGTTTTGTTGCCAACATGATTGTTAACTCCTTTTATCTTCAATGTGATAATTTTATTCCGCCGTCATCAATTTTTGAGAATTAGAAAAATTGGATGTCATTTGTTCTTCCATTCTTGTTGAAGTATGCCACCCATCATTGTAATTGATGCGTCAGTAACATACTTGATAAGACGGTTAATATCATATTATTCAAGTATAGTTGTGTGTAACAAACATCTTTCAATGCTTGAAAAAATTACTAATGAAGTGTTCCACATCTTCATTTTTGACATTTTCCTAGCATGGAAATCAAATTCTAACCTAGGCTAGCAAAACCTTTCACAAATGTACGATATAATCACAAATCTACAATAGTGATGTGATAGAAATTGATAAAAAAATCAAATTAAATCTGTGTGC